CTTATTTAAAAAGCTTGAGCTTATTTGATAAGCTTCTTAAGGTAGCTTTTCAAATAAGCTCATTGAAATTTTTATTTCAGCTAGCTTATCAGCTAATTTACCAAACACTTTGATCATATAAGCTAGCTTTTCAGCTATAAGTCATAAGCTATAAGCTATAAGCTCGAAAAATTACTAATAAGCTATAAGCTAACTTATCAGCTATCAGGTAGCTTATCAGCCAGTTTTACCAAACATAGCCTATATTGGTAGCTGCACATATTTTATTTCAAGCTGAAATGAACTAGAAAATCAAAATGTTGTTTACTTGGGACAAATCAAAATGAGAATACATTTGTAATTATTTTAAATTAAGAGTATATTGGTAATTCATACACTTTATCTTATATCTTATCTAACAAAACAAATGTGCAACACAAAAGCTAACAAAATCTTATTTTGGACTGGTCCTTGATAACAAACATAAACGTTATATCTAAGGCTGACATTTTTTAACCGAACCGAACCAAACCGAACTAATGAGAAAATAAACCAAACCCTACCGAACCGCTTGTAACATTAACCGACTATCGGTTACCGAATCATTATCGGTACGGTATCGGTTTGAACCCATAAGAGTTCCGTAAAACCGATACCAAACCGATAAGGGTAAAAAAAATTAAAACAAATATTTTTTTTTAATATTAAAACAAGGATTAGTTGTTTAGTGTTCAAAAATTGAAATAAAGGTTCAACCCTACCTAATTCTCAAAATGACGAAAAAAAATACCACTACTAATCGCCTCATTTTCGTACCACCGTTATTAGATGAGTTAGTTGAAGTTGTATCACAAATTTTATTTCTTGCACGTTAGCACTATATTGTTTTATTAGTTGCGTTTACCACGGAAACCATAATCTAATTATACTTAAACTAACTTTTATGTATTAAATTTGAACTTTTTAATCCTTCAATGAATTTGTGAGTCTTTTGTGTTTATTTAATTGGTAAGAAGTAAAAAAAAAATTACAAAAATGACAAGAAAAGTAAACACTAGCATTTTTTTTCTGTTCAAAATCGGTTTAGTTTTTTCGGTATAAAATCGATACCGAACCGAAACGAGTTTTCGGTTACCGAATTTTTGGTAACCGACTTTAATCGGTTCGGTATCGGTTTTGCATTCCGAGGTTACCGACATTATCGGTACGGTATTGGTATATGCTTATTGGTTCGGTAACCAAACCGATATCACCTCTAGTTATATCATCTCAACAGTACAATCTTTGCCCGCATGATAACAATTATCTAATCTCATCCACCTTAACAAATGAACCCTATTATATTGTCGTTGAGATTAAGAGACCAAAATCGAAAAAAAAAAAAGTATATTGTCGTTTATCACAAACTCGCACACTTTCTATCCTTTAATTAATTGCATCCAAATCAAAAAAAAAAAAGGTAAAAACAAAAATTACCTTTTTCTCCTCAAATCCTAAATCCTCATTTAAAACTCAAAAGTCTATAAAAAGCTATATTTTGGCGCAAATACTTAGGTGTGCCCTGGTACACCTTGCTAAGTGTGCCAGTGTCTTTAGTGAAATACACCTTCTTCAATAGTGCGTGGGGTAAGTAGGTAAGGATTTTTTTTTAAAAAAAATGGGACATGTGTCTCAATTCTATTGGGCAATGAAATTCATTTATCATATTATATAAATTAAATTATCATTCATATTTTGTATCAAAAAATAAAAATAAAAATACCAAAATTCATAATTTTTCATTCTCTACAAATAGAGACCACATTTGATATTTTTTTAAACACAATTAATTTATCATTTCTTACAATTAATTTATCTTATTGGAAGATTATGACATAAATCTATAATTAGATGAATATGTTACATAGTAAGATGAACATGTTATAGAGTAAGATGAACATGTCATAGAATAAGATGAAAATATTACATTTTCACAGGTGAAATTTAGATGAACATGTTCTAAAATAAGATGAACGTGTTACATAATAAAATAACATGTTATAGAATAAGATGAACATGTTACATAATATAATGAACATGTTATAGAATAAGATGAACATGTTACATGCACAATAAGGTGAACATGTTACATAAATAAAATGAACATGTTATAGAATAAGATGAACATGTTACATAATAAAATGAACATGTTATATAATAAGATGAACATGTTACATACACAATAAGATGAACATGTTACCTACTAAAATGAACATATTAAATAATAAGATGAACATGTTACATGATTAAATGAACATGTTATAGAATAAGATGAACATGTTACATACACAATAAAGTGAACATGTTACAAAATAAGATGAATATGTATTGTTTCAATCTACAATCTGTAACATGTTCATCATATTTGAATACATATTCATTTTATTATGTAACATGTTCATTATATGTCAGTATAATAAAATAATTACGAAAAATTATGAAAATTTATGAAAAAACAAAAATTAGTTGTGTTCAAAAATCTATCAAATGTGGTCTCTATTTATAGATAATGAAAAATTATGAATTTTGGTATTTTTATTTTATTTTTTTAATATTAATAATTAATGATATTTTAATTTATGTAATATGTACCATTTTTTAATTAAAAATGAAAATTGGGGATGTGAATTACACTCTCCAAATTTCTCTAGTATTGGGGAGTTTTGGAGAATAAGGGGGCGCGTGCAAATGTGCCCTGGCACACCTAGCTAGGTGTGCCAAGGCACACGGTAGTGGTACTGATATTTTGGTATACCAATAAACTAGCTTATAGTTTATTTTGTTAGTATATAAGTTCTGTTTGGTCGGACGTAATTTTTTTAAAAAACTCGAGCTTATTTGATAAGTTTCTGTAGGTAACTTTTCAAATAAGCTAGTTGAATTTTTTATTTCAACTAATTTGATAGCTAATTTTACCAAACACTTTTATCATATAAGATAACTTTTCAGCTATAAGTCATCATCATAAAATATAAACTCACAAATTTTTATAAACTATATAAACTATCTTATCACTAGTTTTACCAAACATAAACTTAAAAATAATACTAATTTTACCAAACATAGCGGTCTACTATTTTTTTTTTTTGCCCAATTAATCTTTCACCAATTTAATTTTTATTACACGAGCAACACGCAAAGATCAAAATCCAGCGCCGTACATGGACAAAATTGTTGACCTATTTCATCATCTACGAAATATCGTATATTTTCGCGTATATTCTATTAAAAAAAATTAAAAAATTAAAAATAAAAATAAAAAATAAATCATTATTTGATTACTGAATCCGCGTAAATTCAGGGAATTCTTCTTCAGGTCTCCTATTTATTATTCACATTTGCCGTCTTGAAACAAGTGAGAAAATTCAATTATAGGACTTTGGTTTTCACCCGGTCGGCGCAGGTTAACGTTGTCGGCGCAGGTTAAGGAACTGGAGAGGATGGGCGCGTATGGAGCCGCCGCGATCGTGCTCTGCGCGCTGGCCGCTGCGGTTCTGAACGGTGCGGTTCTGTGCAGTGGGCGGATTACGAGCAGCTTCGTGAGGAAGGTTGAGGCAAGCGTTGATATGCCGCTGGACAGTGACGTCTTCAAGGTGCCTCCTGGCTATAATGCGCCTCAACAGGTTTGTGCGCTTCTTTAATTATGATCATGATTTATTTAATTGTATGTGTAAATCTTTCTTTATTTCTTCTAATGATTGATTGGGCTTTTGGACTTTTTTTTTTTTT